TTTTCGAGTTCTTTAACGTTTATATATCAAGTCATGAAAATTTGAACTTTTCAAGTTTGGGTTGTGGGAATTTTTGATTATGATCTAGATTCTAGGGTAAGGATTTTATGCAAGTTTGTTTTGTAATTTAAAGTGTATTAGAATGTTATGTATGTTTGTATCATGATTCTGATTGGATTATATTTAAGTATGTTCTTATTGTAAGTTTAGTCGTATTATAATTTTATGTATGTTCATGTTATGATTTTGATTGCATTATAATTTTATCTATTGGGTTATAAAGATTTGAAGTCTTTAAGTTTGGTATGTGATTTTTTACATATCGTATGGTTGGTCCAGTCCATTCACTATTGTGTTTTTAAAGTCAAGGTATGTGTTGAAGATGAAAAATAGTACATGTACATCATCATTTGAAGGAGACATATCTTTATGTGGAGTATTTTTTATTCTTAAATTTGTGTCAGATTCCTTAATATTTCCGTCGTTATTATTACTCATTTTATTTAGTTTTAGAATTTTATTACTAAACAAATCTCTCTCTCAATATATATATGTGTGGGTATATTAAAATTTCATTAACTATATTTTATTTAACTTTTTCGAATTATTTGAATATGATTTGTTGATGATTCTATTAACAATTAATATATATTTATATAGACAATCATCAGATCATTAATCAAAGTACTTATACTACCGCGCAACGCGCGGTTCCCATACTAGTATATCTAAATAGTTATAACTTTAATAATATCATCAAGTTAAATGTACGATTATGACTAAAGAATACGGTAGTAATCAATTTAAAAAAGTCTACATGCAAGCACATCAACAAGATTTCTTACTTAATCTATATATATGTGCATACATATATATATATATAGGGTTGGGTTCACGTGAGACCAATGGTTTTTCGTAAGACCCGCAAGACCAATTTATATTCATTGATCAACTCTATAAACTAATGATCTAATGATCTAAAGTTGCACGGTGGTAATTTTGTGATTATTGAGAAGTCTCGTGACAATTTTGTAATTATGAATTTTCAGATTGTAGATCCAATCCAAGGGTTGAGAATTGGTCTTACGTGTCTCACGAAAAACCCTTGTTCTCACATTATCCCAAGTCTATATATACATATACATATATATATATATACATATACATATATATATATATATATATATATAGGTGGAGGTTCAAACGAGAAAACACCTCCATTTTACATGAACGCAAGAACAGTCTTATCACATATGATAATACGCGTGAGAGGACCTGGTGGTATGCGGAAGACGTGTTCTACGACTTAGGTCGCGCCAAATGTTGTCCGCATCTATGATTTAGCATCACATGTGATGGTTTTGATGGATTATAATATCATATATCAACAACATCCTTATCACATGTGATAATACTTGTGAGGGGATTTAGTGGTATAAGAGCGACTTGACCTGCAACCAAGATTGCATCAAAAATCGTCCGTGTCTCTGATTTAGTAATATGTGATGAAATAAAAATATCACATGTGATTGTTTATTGTAAAAATATATTCTCATATTCTCATAAAATGAAAATCATGTCATTTGATGGAAATGGAAAGATCTGGGTATAAAAATGGCAAAAGGTGGTTTTTATTAAATTATAACGATAAGTTATAAAACCGTTTAAAAAAAATTAAATTCATGACTTAATAGATGAAAATTAAGTGGTTCCTTTTTTTAGTTAATTAATTTTCTTTTTATTAAGACCCGCATTGCTTTATTTTGTATTAATTTAAGACTTCATTAATCAAATTTATTAGCATGCAACGTGGGATATCTTTAAATGTAATGCATGGTTATGGTCTTTGTTTAATTATCATACCACTTTCAACAAATCTTTTGAGATCTTAGAGATTTAGGGGCCGTTTACCAAATACTTATCCGATAAGTGCTTACCGGTAAAATTTAACAGTACTATTTACTTTACGGGTAAGATTTTAATCCACTAAAGCAACATCGTATGTAACAATTTATCCGGTAAGTGCTTGCTGTGGTAAGATCTGTCGCCCTTACTTACCGGGTAAGACTTTGGTCCTTGTTTCGCTCTTACTGGGTAAGATTCTTGGTTTTTACCATATTCATTCGGTGAAGTAATGTGATTTGGTAAGCGTTTAAACGAGTAAGGGTTTGGTAAACAGCCCCTTAATTTACTTTTTGTTACAATTATTTATTTGGAACCTTTTTCAAAATGGAAAAAGTTGAAATGAAAACTCAAAAACCCTAAATTTTTGAATAACTACAAAAAAATTATTGTGAAATGGAAGAAATTTGTTTTTAATTATTTGCACCAATAAAGTTTGTTGTATCAGAATTTTGTATAATATTTATATGAAAATTTTATATGAATTTTAAACGGTTCATTTGAGTGTGTTTGGTACATTGGGTATGACAAAACAGAAGAAAGATCATTGTTTTACATTTGGTATGATTTTTATGTGGAACAGATAGAATCATAGTGGAATATATTTGTTCCACGCCTACCTCATGGAGCATGGTGGAATAAGATGAAACAGACTTATATTTTACCAATATAATCTCAATATAAAACTTAATTCTCTTCTAAAACATCAAATATGTCTCATTTTTACATTTTATTCGTTATTTAAATTTTATTTATTGTACTTTATGTTTTTTTAAACTTTTATTTTGATGTCCTCGAAATATTATTTTTATACGGTTTCTATATTTTTATTAATTTACGCAATTTATTATACATCAATAAAAGACAATGTAGAAAAGGAATAAAATAAAGAATGAAAACTACACAAACTTTTTATTTTTATGTCATTTTAATTGTTTTGATAAAAACTTTCTAAAGATATATTTTGTTATAAAAATAATTATTTTATTATAATTCAATAAATTAGATAAATTAATCAAATTATATAAACAACCCATTAAAGGTAAATTGGTCATTTGACTTGTTATGTTATGTCTAGTTTTGTTTTACCAAATGTTGAACAATATCGTACCATATGGACTTATTTAGTAATCAATAATAAAAAAATATTTTGATTTTCAAAATTTTACATATTTTATTTTCAATTTTGCTAAATTACGATATGGATGGATATACAAAACTTGATTGAATTCATTCACTAGATCTAGTTGGTAATGATGTCAATATAGATAAATTTGTAACTTCAACTTTTACAATGTTGGTACAAAACCATACCTAAATGTATCAGAAAAAGCTGGTACCAAGTATAGTTGATTGATACATGGTATAAATCTTTACACATCAATTATACAGGATACATGGATAAAAAAACATGATACCATACCATGTTCACACCTAGCACCCTTCGCCATTGCTTAGAACAGACAACGACAAGGATCCAAACACGCAAGTAAGGACAAAACCCAACCAATTTAACCTAAAAAAAAGAAATCCACACTTTGATCATTTTTAATTGAAAATCAACACTAATGAAATACACCAGATCAATTTTGTGAGAAACACAATTCATAGCATAAGTATGAGATTAAAAGTGATCAAAGGTCCAGATACTTTTTATGATTCTCACATTAACTTTTATTTTCACACGATCTTTCGTTGAAAAGGGCATAACCGGAAATGAAATCCAAAATTTACACTTATTTTATTAACCGATGGGCTGTTTACTAGATGCTTACCTAGTAAGTGCTTGCCGGGTAGTTTTTCTTACCGGATGAACATGACAAGGGTCAAAAATCTTGCCCGGTAAGAACGATGATAAAGATGAAGAGTCTTACTCGGTAAGTGAGTGTGATGACTCTTACCTGGGTAAATGTTTACCGGGTAAATTGTTGCATATGATACCATTTTTGATGTTCTACAATCTTACCCGGTAAAATAAATTACAATGTTGATTCCCAAAGATAAGCGCTTACCGGATAAGCATTTAGGTAAACGGCCCCTGATTATGTAATTATTTAATTCTAATTACTATAAAAACACCCATTATTTTTCCTCATCCAAACACTAGCATTTAGTTTATCACCGATGTCAAACTGAAATAAGTCAAAAAACACCTAAAATAAACAATCCCAAACACCCCTTAATATTTAGGGAGTGTTTGGGATTGCTTATTTAAAACAACTTATGTTTTTTTTATAAAAGTGTTTATTAACTTATGTGGTATCAAACCAGAGTTAAATAAAATAAGGTTAAAATTATAAACTGGTAATAAACAGTTTTTCATAAGTCATGAATGATTAACTAATCAAAAACAGTTTATTACCGGTTTGACACCGGTATAAGCAGTTTTTTTTCTTATCCAAACACCAAAAAACAACTTACCGTCAATATCAAACTAAAATATATTAAAAAACAGCTTTTATAAGCAATCTCAATCAATCTCCTGACAAATTATCTTATTTTGATTGTTATACTTCGTAACCCGCAAACCGCGATCTGATATCCGTTTTTGTCTCAATGTCCCTGGAAAGAAGAGAACATTGAGCCGAGTCACGGCTGGGCTGAAATAACCGTTTGACGCGCTCGCCGTTGTTGACGTTAGATGGAGTTGACTTCTGGAGCTTGCTCCTCCTCCTCCTCCTCCTCCATGTATGGGAAATAAAGGAATCCAGGTTTCTATCGTTCATATGTCACCCTCAAAGATTCCACGCGTCTTGGATGGATCCGACCTACCCACACCAAAAACCCTTAACCTCATTCCCACCCACCTATAAATTCCCAAATCATGTCTTAGTAATCTCACAATTCTTTCAAACTTGCAAACGTACTTGATCAAACATCCATGGCGTCTGAGAATTTCAACTCTAATGTACGCTTCTTTTCTGAAATTTTCTTCTAATTTGTGTTGCCTGTGTTTCGTTCTTTCGTATCGTTGCTATGATTGCTTATTCATCGAAATTGTTTTTTGTTGGGATGAAAAATTTGAGTCTGTTTATTGCATGCACCGTTTACTGGTTGGAGTTTGGGAAAAAATATGAATCTTCTTTAGGGTTGATGCGAATAAACCACATTGTTGAAGGTTTTGGTTGAATTTGACATTTTGGGACTTCATTGTGTTACCAGAGTGTAGTTGGTTGTGTTTCTAATTCATTCTCGATTTTGACTTCTGAAAAGTCAGCAATTGAAGAAACTAGAAATAATTGTCAACAGAAGGGTACTTGAACTTCCATTATAAAGTTTGTACTATACAAAGAAGTTAGGACCCTACTTCAAATATGTCGGTTTTCATTTAGTTCTGGACTTGAACACAAGCTCATTGAATTTGTTGTGATCTCTAGAAACCAGATAAATACATTTCATGAACGTTTTTGTCTTGTGTTGGAATAGTTAAGTAATTTGTATAGAATCTTGCTCGACGATCATTTGGATGCTTTTCGTAGCCCACCATCCTACCAAGATTCTCATTCGTTGATCTTGTTGGTATGCTAACAGAAAATTAACTTGTCATTAGATTCTATCCACACTATACTTGAGGGAATTTGCACGTAATGATCAAGATTACGAAAGAGTAATTACATTACTTTAGGAGGAGACTTGTGAGTTTCACATGTGTGCACCATTTACTAGTGCATGTGTAGCATTTTATCGATAAACATGTAATGAGAGTTTTTATCTTTATTATACCCATAATGATGCCTCTTTTTGTTATTTTTTTTTTACTAACTTTTACCTTTTCAATTGTTTTCCTTATGTTCAATCTTGTATGCCATGTTTAATAGGGTAATGCCTCCGACTTGCCATGGGAGAATGGTTTCATGGATGCACTGTCTCTTGTTAACTCTGAGAAAGCTGTAAAGGAAATTATCGAACAACCTCTTGTCGAGGGGATTGAAGAGCATCTCGTGGAGTTTTCAGAGGCCATGAGAAGTATGATTCTGTTTCTGTACTTGGAAGTTTTAATTTTGATTTACTACTGATCCTTCTGCTTTATGTTGTTTGGATTGATCTATAGCTGTTAGCAAGGCTTTAAGACGAGCAGCAGAAGGAAAAGCCTCTGCTCAAGCCGAGGCTGCAGAATGGAAACGCAAATATGAACTGGAAAGGGAGCAAAATTCACAGTTGGAACATAAAGGTCTTCAGATACGAGAGCAGAATTCACAGTTGAAACATAAAGGTCTTCAGATACGAGCATCATAATTAAATTCACTATTTGCTAGCATGCAGTAAAAAACGTATACATACTTGTTTATGATGTTTGTATTTCATTTGAACCCGACAATATGATCCCTTCTATGGATTTTCCTGATTCCCTGCAAGTACAAGAACATTGCTGCCTTTAATCACACGGTGCTTTAAAACCCTACAACCGATCTTAACATAAGTTTTTATGATTTCATATATCTTCTTCATGTGTTACTTGCTTCATGATTGATCATTGTGTGAGTACGTTCTAACTAATATTTTTCTACTTTCATCTCAGTTCTGACATATGTGGAGCTTAAGAATAACTGTATTGAGAAGAAAGTAGAAAACTCAGTGCAACACCTTGAAATTGTGCCTGATGCACAATCTCAAGAGTATCGTGGAAAGAGTTGGATTTACACTCACGAGGTTCTTTGGGACAAGGAGCATAACTCTTGTTCCAGTGTTCGTAACAAGCTTATCCGGAAGGTACATGTAAATTTTGGTTGGTGAGAAATGTCTATTTGTCAATTTATTTTTATTAGGTTTACATTTTTTTCCCACAATCCAAGGGTCTTCACAGAAAGGCCTCTCTACTCATAAGGTCTGAATATATCCTATCCTCTCCAAACCTACTTCCGGGTGGGATATGTTGGATATGTTTGTTCTGCTTTTTATATCCATTGAAATGCTCATATTGACTTCCGTAATGGTACAAGAGTTCCTCCATATAGATACTGGATGAAATAAGAAAACTATTATGATCAAGCAAATATCTTTCTGATTAAGTATACAGTATGCAAGGAATATTCAAATTCAATCAATAATTCTTAATCGTAAATTCCAAATATAAGGATTGCCAAACTAAACTGCCATAGGCGCAGATACATACATAATGGGGGCATATTTACATTTACATGTGAAACTGTGGTCTTCTTTTATGATACTTTATAGTTTTACTTTGTGGAAACTGTAATTGTAAGACCGATTGATCCCTGTTCAGGCATCATTCAAACTACATTGGTGGGCCAAAGGTGAAAATAATGATCAACATAAACACGACATTGTCTCCTTTGAAAAGGGAGACATAACGACAGCAGAGCGTAGCAGTAAACAGGTATGATGCTGTTATTAAGGCGTATAATTAAAAGAACTGTAATGGTTAACTTTGTACATTTTTGTGGCAAATTTTTATGTGTTCATTGATTTAGTTGACATCTTGTATTTCAGATTTGTTTGAAATGGGAAACTCCTCCACAGACTGTCCTCATTGTGATAAAACCAGATTCACCTCCTGTCAAAGATCTTTGTGCAAAAATGGTCAGGTAGCTTCCGATTGTATTTCTGAGAGATTATTTCTTCTTCAGTTTATTCTTAACTTATACCAGATATTTTCAATTTCATTTTGAGTAGAGTGAAAGTGTATATATATTTATACGTATATATGTATATATGAACTGGGAGTTCCATGCTCATATCTTCTTGATATGATGGGAAATATTAGTAACAAAATTGCTCMCTAGAGGTTTTACKAGACAATTTCTGCATGCAATTAGGCACATTGGTTTGAAAATGTTAGTTATTGAAGTTTTGTTGCGACATGTTCATTTCTTTCAGGTGGTTGAAGGAGAAGAAGTTAAATATTTAYKTGGAACCACRAGTAAGAACRRAACTTGTATCAGAGTCCCCATACTACAACTTTTTGCAAACCTRGAAAGATGGTGAGCCATGCAACCCATTCTGATTTCCAGAAGTAGAATTAGACCGTCCATTCTTCAGTTAGTACAACTTAGAATTACCCTTTCAATTTCTTATTTCAAGTATCTTAACATGTTACTTTCAAATGCGGTTACTACAGATAACTTTTTATAGTTGCACAACAACAATAGTTTTTCTCCCATATGAGTTGCAGTTCTTGTTGAGATGCTATGCGATTCATATTGAACCAAAATGAAGTAACATTATATTGTGATATTAAAGAATTCAATGAAGTTATGTGTGGAGCGAGCATATATCTTATGTCTATTGCCGTTAAGTTCAAGGATAAGCTAGAAAATTCTCTTGTTGATCATTCTCGTCTTGTTATTCACAGAGGATGACATTTCGCTTCTGCATGAGAAAGTTGATCTTGTTGTAACTCTTGGTGGGGATGGAACCGTGCTTTGGGTATGTGCTTCCATTTCCATTTCTTCTTGAACCAAATGATCTAAGAACTCTTTCTGTGATGTTTTAATCAATTCCATAGTGCAGTTCATACTCTGTGGCTTGTGTAGACTAGCACGAGATATAAATTTTTGCCTGCTGTGGTATGACTTATTTAAATTTACAGTTTGTGTTTGACCCACCAACGGTAAGAAAAGGGTATTTTGGCCTTGTAACTATTTTCTAGAAGTCATCATAATAAATCAGAATTTCCATGTTTGATTAATATCCTGTCACTAGAAGATACATGCAATCCATAATTATGAAAACAACTTAAAAAAGGAATATGAAATGTGGAAATTCTGGTTGGGGACAGTTACTGTTGTTTAAGAGAACGTTATCCTTGGAAACCCCTCCATAAAAGGATGGTGATGAAGCAAATCTTGAATACGTATTGATTCATGAAATTGATATAGGAATTCTCAAGTTGATTCAAGTATCAAAAACTATGCACTTAGCGAGTTAGCGGAGCTTCTTTTTTTGAAAATTCAAATTTAAGAGGACGTTAGTGCCATTTCAGTTGTCGAATGCTCAACCCATAGTGTGTGGACAGCACAATTTAGCACCCGCGAAGTAGGAATTGTAGGGAAACTGCATATATTCTTATAGTCGAACCGTTTTATAGTTTGGATTCAAGTTTTTCCTCATAATGATCAGATATGTTTTTGTTGTACTGTAATTTGGTTAGCTTGATTCCAGAGTTTATGCTAATGGGCCCGTTATTAGCATGATGACTGGCAAACTATTAGTCTGTTACAGAATGACACCTTGAATGAGAGATAGGTTCTTTAATATTTGGAAATTTATTGTGACATCTTGCAAAATAGTTATACTTGTGTAATATATATCAAGAAAATGGAAATTTCATACTGCCCCATGTTAATATTTGCAGTTTCTAATCTGAAATTACCATTTTAAATAACACTACTTTGTTTACCTTTTTCAGACTGCATCAATGTTTAAAGGACCTGTTCCTCCAATTGTGCCGTTTGCTTTGGGTTCCTTGGGTTTTATGACTCCATTTCGTATCCTTACTTTTGGAGACATTTTTTTTTTTTTCAACTTCGAACCTTGTATTGTGCATGCTAAATCTGGAAGCAGTTTGCCAAATAAGTGTTAAATGCAGATGGATTAATATTGGTTCATAAGCAATCTTTAACTCTAAAAAGGTAGTGACCAGTTCGTGGAACGTCTCAAATCAATCCTACAAGGTCCGATTAGCATTACACTTCGACATCGATTACAGTGCCATGTGATTCGTAAAGGAGCTAAAAACGAACATGAGACTGAAGAGCCAATACTGGTGTTAAACGAGGTTACGATTGATCGTGGAATTTCATCATTCCTTACAAATTTGGAATGCTCCTGCGATGGCTCATTTGTCACATGCGTACAAGGAGATGGCTTGATCATATCAACGACTTCCGGGAGCACTGCATACTCTCTTGCAGCTGGAGGTTCAATGGTACATCCACAGGTATGTCTTGCATGCCTATACATAACGTGTTTCAAGGCGGCCTTGTGAGTCTTACAATAATAACTGAAACCAACAGAACTAAGCAAAGTGTTGTGATGCTGCTTGAGATTGATAAGATGACCATTTATGAAAACAACTTTTCTACCCTTTTGGGTACATCCTATTCCTCCCGTGCCCTACTTTCGAGTGGGATATACTGGAATCATTTGGTGTGGTTTTTAAAGTCAGGTTCCTGTCTGTTACTCTTATAGATGCCGATTTTATACTGTTTGCGACTATCTGTTTTGGTATTTCATTATGCGACTTAAACAACCATGCAGGTTCCTGGCATCTTATTCACCCCAATTTGTCCACATTCGCTTTCTTTCCGGCCTCTGATATTCCCCGAATACGTGACACTTAAGATTCAAGTGCCGCTCAATAGCCGAGGTAAAGCATATGCGTCGTTTGATGGGAAAGGCAGAAAAGAGTTGGTTGCAGGCGACACACTTGTGTGTAGCATGTCTATTTGGCCCGTGCCCACAGCTTGTCAAGGGGATTCGACCAAAGATTTCTTGCACAGCATCCAAGATGGCCTGCATTGGAACTTGAGGAAGAAACAGTCGGTTGACGGACCTCGGAAACCGTAATCTGTTACTCGGGTTCCTCACTGGAAGGAATCTAGTGTTCTGTCTGTGTGAAGAAAGCTTCATTGCCACCTTATGCCCTTTTTTTCCCCTTGATTTCGAAGTATTTGCATGTTGTTAACCTGTAATTTTATGTTGTCAATGATGTAATGGACAAGATTGGAGGAATGCATACAAGTAATGATTTCTTATAATGGCAATAAATATATCCAAAGTAGAAAACCCCTTTATGAAAATTAACATATATTTTTTTCAATGATTTATTTGAAAAAATAAAACCAAACGTAGGGAATCCCATCTGAAAGTAGGATAATGCGACTATGGTGTATGTATGTCATGCTTTTGCCTGTAGAGGTAAAGTCACTTGTTTCCGTTAAGGCCTCCGGCTTACAAAAAGATTCAAAAATGGTTTTTGAAAGCCGAAGAAAATGCAAAAAACAGAACGGGAATCTTGCCACGGGAAGGAGAGGAGAGAGAGACGAGTAGGGCTGTAAACGAACACGAACGGAGGCTTGTTCATGTTCGTTCGTTTAACTTAACCGAACAAACACGAACGGTAAACGAACGAAAATCTTTGTGTTCGTGTTCGTTCGTTTAGAAATAAGGTATGCGTGTTCGTTTATGTATGCTAAACGAACGGGCTAAACGAACATAAATAAATATTATTTGAATTCAAAGTAAATAAATAAAAAATTATATATTAAATTTAATATATAAACGAACATAAACGAACGAATATAAACGAACGGTAAGTGAACGAACGTTTACGAACATAAATGAACGAACGAGACTCTTGTTCATGTTCGTTTGTTTAACTAAACGAACAAAAAAAATTGTTCATGTTTGTTCATTTATTAAATAAACGAACTTCCCACCAAACGGTTCACGAACGGTTCGCTGAACGTTCGGTTTGTTTACGATCCTAGAGACGAGGAAGGGAAGTTTACTCTTAAAAAGAAATATTCTAAAAAATATATAATTAGGATAAAGACAAAAATAAATGATAAAAAGACTAAAGTATCCTCTTATTTAACTAGGTTAACAATATTTTTATTATTCTGTTAGAAGGAATGACTCAATGAGTGTAAAGATACATACTAATGATATTATCCTTGTATTTATTTTGATTTTGAGACCACTGTGGATAATAGAAAATGTAACCACTAGGCATAGTGGCTTGGGGTACGGTATGTGGTGAGTGGCGGTTATGAAGACGACAATAGTGGTGTGGGGGGTTAGGGTAGGGTAGGGTAGGGTAGGGTAGGGTGGGGTGGGGCAAAAGGGATGGGCAACGGGTGGTAGATGTGACGATGAAAGTGGTGGGATGGTGATCACGTAGCTCAGAGTTGGTGGGTATGACAACGACAGTAGTGGCATGATGGTCAATGGTGGTTAGGATAGGGTAGGGTGGGTGAGTGGCAGTTGTGACGACAACAATAATGGTGTGTTAGTGGGGGTTAGGTTAGGGGCATGACAATAACGGTAGTAGCATGGTCATAGTAGGTATGTGCAGTGAATGACCAAGGGGTGGGTGGTGATGGCAACAATAATGACATTGTGGTTAGTGATGAGGTAGGATGGGTGGCAACGATTGTAGTGGTGGAGGATAAGCGGTGGGGCATGACGAAAAATAGTAACACGACCGTGGTGGATGGTTATAGAATTCAATTTCTTCTATTATACCAAGGAACGATGAATTCATTAATTGAAATTTGTTCAAAGAAATTTATATTTCAATTTCATTAAATTTCTTTGAATTCCACAAACCAAACGACTTCTAAAGGTTTAAGGAATTTTTTGTTTCAACAAATTCTACCAAAATGAGAAAGTAACATTAAAAAAATCAATGATTAAAGTTAATAATCTATATCATATCAAAAAGCAGGAGTTCCAATTATCCTTGAATTTTTAAAAGGTATAATCAATTAAGAATATTATACAAGTTTTTAGGGGCCGTTTACCAAATACTTACCCGATAAACACTTACCGGTAAAATTTAACACTATCACTGCTTACCGGGTAAGATTTTGGTCCACCAAAACAAGTATCGTATGCAACAATTTACTCGGTAAGCGCTTACCGTGATAAAAGTCGTTGTCTTCACTTACTGGATAAGACTCTTGGTTATTGTCTTGGCTCTTACCGGATAAGATTCTTGGTTTAAACCATATTTATGAAGTAAGATAATGTGACTTGATGTTCACTTACCCGAGTAAGTTAATTGGTTGAGATATGTTCCCCATTTTTATTGTTTTTTTTAACTCTTTTTGTCTCATTCACAATCTGGTTGTTCGAATTGTGACCGGAGATGGTCTTAAAGCAAATCATTTTCAATTTTATAATTACATTTTTATCCTTATAATTAATGATTTGATTTTACTTATATCCCTTACTTTTTCGTTTCATTTTACATCGTTATGATATTAACATAAATAATTGTATATAAAGTAAATGCATTTAAAAAATAGGTTTCTCTTTTTATAAATTACATTGTCTCGTCAATACCTTCAAACTAAACGTAATATTGAATATTTTTAGATTTAATAATACTAAAAAGTTAAAGAAACCCAACAAACTTTTCTATTTTGAATAGTTTAGTCCCTAAACTATTTTGTGAACGAAAAAACCATTAAACTTTCTCATTTTGAATGATTAAATCTTTGAACTGTTTTTTGAATGAAAAAACCTTTAAACATTCTCTTTTTGAATGAAAAAAACCATTAAACTTTTTCATTTTTATTGATCAAGTCTCTGAATTTTTTTATAAATAAATCATCGCACTTTTAAAAATTGGTTACTTACATCCTTTTATCTCAAAAAAGTTACATTAACCGACTAGTAAAGGTTTAACGGTTTAGTTTTTTTTTATAAAAAAAAAATCAAGGTCTTAATCATTTAAAATGTGAAAGTTTAATGGTTTTTTTCAATTAAAAAATATACCAGGAACTTAATCATTCAAAATGAGAAAGTTTAATGTTTTCTCATTCAAAAAAATTGTTTAAGGACTAAAACATTCAAAATGAGAAAGTTTGTTGAAATTTCTTGAACTTTTCCCTACCATTAAATATCATGAATATTTACGAATTAATTTCTTTTATGTCCATACATTTTCATTTTTCGTTTTACATCTTTATCATATGAAAAATGCATAATCATATATCAACTAAATACATTAAAAATGTGTTTTTTTAATTTAATACACATTATACTACTATTAATTGTTCGTAATTGGTTATAAAATCACCACATACTGCTAGAAAAATTGCTTTCATAGATGAAGTGAAATGCCTCATCATTATTGTCTTGGAATACATGCCTGGGATCACACAAATCAGAAAGAAGGATAAACCTATGAATAATCCTGCATTTTGAGGTATTCTTTTAGGATATTTGTTTTCACAGACTATCTTTATTTATTTTCTACAATTATTACTTTTACCCTTTTTCTCATTTCAGAAAGTTTTGATTTTCTAATTTTCTTTTTTGTTTTGTGGGTTTTATTGATCGGTCATGTCATATAGGCCCGAATTGCCATTTTTTTCATTCATTCTCTTTAAGATCAGTCGTGGATTCGACTGTCATTCGCAACTAAATACCCATTATGAAGAATGTCAATTTTGACTTCCAATCTCTTATTGTCATCGTGTTAGAGATATTATTCTTTCTCTTAAACTAGACAGTTTATTATAGAAATTGATCGAATGCTTTTTGCAATGTTAGTTTTCTCATGTTATATTTCACTTGCTTTTGTTGGTCTTTGAGTTTTTAAAGTGTGAATTCAATTTTATATCAAGACTATGTTTGGCAAACTGACTGATAGTTGATAAGTTAGCTGATGACTGACAAGTTAACTATTAGCTGATGACTGACAAGTTAACTGTTAGCTGATGAACAAATTACGTTTCACAAAACTATTTGATAAGTTTGATGAAAAATATAAAATGATTGAAAAGTTTTCTTTAGTCAATTAATTTTTTTTATAATATAACTAAAACAAATTATAATAAAATAATATATTAATTAATACAAAAAGTACCGAAGAAAAATTAAATAACATATGTTGATTAAAATAATTT